GGACGGTGTAAGATATGACAAAATAATAATAATTTATAAATTATCAAGGGTTCATGGGGGAGGGAGGAGCGGGGAGGGAGGGAAAAATAGAGAAGCAAATACCAAGGGCTCGAGTAGAAAGCAAATGTTTTGAGAATGATGAGGGAAACAAATGTACAAAAGTGCTTGACACAACGGGTGTATGTGCGGATTGTGATAGAGTTGTACAAGCCCCCAATAAAAGGATTTCATTTAAGAAAATTCTTAACTATCAGACTGTGAATGTGACCTGCTTGGAAATAGGTTCTGTAAAAGGTGTCATCAGTTAATGTGAGTTCTGATCCAACTCAAGTGGTGTTCTTACAAAGGAGGCCCACAGACTCGGCGAGAGAGGCAAATGAAGGATGGCCTGTGAAGATCTAGCTGCACACCAAGGAGTGCCTGAAACTATCAGAAGCTGGGATAGATGAAGAACGGCTCTTCCCGTGGAGACTTTGGGGAGAGCCTGGCAGACATACTGAATCTGGGTTCCTCACCTCCAGAACTGAGAGACAACATATTTCTGTTCTCCTAAGGCTCGCAGTTTGTGACATTTTGTAATGGCAACTGAAGCCCTTCTTCTCAGAGCATGGTTTTCTTTGGCCTCTGAGATACTACCCTCCTTGGCTGTCCATCCTGTTTCACTGGTCTCTCCTTAGCATCTTCTTCCTAAACTAAATGCTGAAGGGACCCTGGGTTCAGTCCTCTAGCGCAGTCTTTACGGATAAGCACTTTTAATCCATGGCTTTAAACATTGTTTATGTTAAAACCCATAAAACCAAACCCACTGCCATAAGTTGACTCTGACTCATGGCAATCCCATAGGGTGTAAGCTCCATAGGGTTTTCTCTGGTATAATCTTTTCAGCACCAGATTGCTAGGATTTTCTTCAGTGATGCCAGTGGGTGAGATCCAACCACCCACCTTTAGGTTAGTAGTTGTGGCAGTTACAGAATCGCCTGTCAACTTGAGCAAAGGGGTGGAGTCTAACCTGTCAATCAGGTCATAGCCAATAATGCCTCTGTGTGGGCATGGCCTTCTCCTGAGGATTCT